TAAAATTTACCTTTAAAAAACTATAAGTACAATAAAGTTTAAGTACTTTCTTTTAATTTTGTGAAACTTTTTTTTCCGATTTATCAATAAAATTMAACTTTTATRWATTTGTACACCATAACGTTTATGTGGCTTAATTGTGTGAGCACAAGTGTATAAACACGAAACTTATCAACCATAAATTTGATAAGTGATTTTTAAATTACGAAATTTAGCTGAAAAACGTGAAAAAATTAGTGAAACATAGAGAAATAGCATGTTAAGAACAAATTATTTTAAATGTTAAACGTGAATATTTTAAAAAAATATTAGTTATTTTTATATTATTTTTGGATATTCCTCCTCTGGAGAAGCTCCTCTATCCGTATATACCCCATTTCTACGGAAATTCCGTTTTTTTTTTTACCCCTCCGACAAAGTAATCGGAATCGTGCCGGTGATAACAACACAATTTGTTTCATGTGTGGAATACAATGCTCGCGACAGAATGCAAACGGCATCTGTCAAATATTACATTACACACGTTCTTATGAGCGGACCTATTTTGATAGCTGCACGACTACACGACGGCAGGCCGGGAGTTGTCGTTCTCGCTAACTTCAATTTTATCCTATATTTGCCAACGACAGTAGAATGGAAGACAGAGAGATGAGGTAGAGTGGTGATGCCACTAATATGTAAAATGTGAAATTACTCAGAGATCTAACAAACCTGACGTTATTTTACAAATAAAAGCATACAATAGCTCTGTTACATCATTTATAATAACAATTAATAATTTAAAACAAATAAATTTACCTATTTACTTATTTTTTGCTTAAAAATTTCACTTTGCACAAAATATTAAAATTCCACAACGAAATTGTGTGCATGCAAAATGGACAACTGCGTTGTTTTGTGTACATGGCGTCCATTGTTATGTTGCTGGCCTCTCACAAACGTTCATGTAGTAGGATTCACAACGCCATCTTCAGTTCACTGTCGTGCTGCTGCAGTCTGTCGCGAGCATTGTGTTCCTCACATTAATGTTAATAAAAAGTATAAAATAAAAACCGGGTTGTTGCAGTTTTTTGAGTGCATGAGTCATTGAAGTGAAGTCACACGAAAAAAAGAGAAAAATTATTACTCAACAAGTTTACTTATCTCAAAAGCGTCAATCTACTGATAACAGCTCAATTCAAAGATAAATTTTGCAATGCATAAGAAAATAAAATTTATCTCTAACCAACACCACTATAAAACGCGATAGTTTCATCATGGTTCCATGCTTTCATACCGGTTTCTATAAATTTCGAACAATTCTTAGAAAAGATCAAGCCACTTTCAAAATACTTGTGATGTTTCTTTTTCAAGCAAGAAAGAAAGGCAAAACGAAAAAAAGAAAATGTCAAAACATTTGCATTCCACTATGGGACATTGGGAAGCGGCAAACATAAAAACACATACAAATTCTAAAACAATTATAAATGATAATTAACACTTTTTAACATTTTGACGCAGTGAAGGGCGTGACATACATACATAAGTATGTGCAAACATACAAGGCAATATCACGTCATTATTCCAGCACATGTAAAAGCGTGCATATTTACACATTTTGGCCACCAAAATTCCAGCTATATCTATAGTATTTTATCGCTTCACAATTCAGCAAAGAAATCAACGGCGATGCATATCACGCAGTACACACTCTCACGTAAATCAATTACCGCTCACATGTACGCAATAATCTACACAAATACTTCCCTTAATTTAAAAATTTTAACTTATGCCGATTTCTACGATATTAACACCATAATGAGGGCAAAAACTATTTGAAGTCAAAATGAACTTATGAAGAAATCCAAGTTACTTTTGTACCCTACCTTTAGGCAGCCATTAACAGGCTTCGCTTCTGTCTCATTAGCCTTGAAACCATTTTTACGCGCACGTAGATCTCCACTACCACAATTGGGCATATCCGCCACTAAGTTTCCTTGCATTTTGTCGAAATAATTAACAAAATCCCTATTTTGCTGATGTTCTTGAACAACTCCACCGTTGTCACCGTATAAGTTACCCATTCTACCTTCTTCTTAACACTAATTCTAATTTATTCCAATATTTTAATGCCTCCTTTACATTATTGCATCTCGGTATTTTCGCCTTCGCACAAACCATAGAACGTACATACTATATATCTACGATATAGCGGTTCTGCCAATGAGTGTGAATGAAAAAACTATATAAACAAATTATGTCGTCATCAGTGCTTCCAAGTTGTAAATAATAGGGAGGATTGAAATTCCAATAAAGTAAAAACAGCCTACACGAGAAGAACAGTACTTTGACATGAGTGGGACTGCGGCTAACAACTGCTACATAACATATTACAACTGAATGATTGCGAAATTTTATGGAAAAGTCGAAATAATGACTCCTTAAGCGATCACGTTATTGAAAATACTATGTTTTTATAGAACTAAACATTCATAAACTGATATTAATACTGTAGACATAACCGAAATATAAAGGAAATACAAATTTAAATCCAACAAATATATATAACCTAAGAATTGCTTGAAGATAAAGGAGATTTAGATACTTTTAGATACCTAGGGTTAACTCGGGGATATTTTAGAGAATTTTTCGTAATGACACAGTTGAAACCCCTTTATTAAAAAAACATTGTTAGTTGAAAGCTTTTTTTTTTATAAAAAAATGTGATATATATAAAGTTATGTACAATTACGAAGAAATTTATAAAAATGAGGTAAAGCAGCAGTAATAAGATGTTTAAGAAAAACCAAGAAAAAAATAAAAAATATTAGGTTTAAAAAAAAATAACTCTCCGGTATCAAAGCATGTGTTGTGATGAAAACGCTTAAAGTTTTGAAATCTTCTGTAACACCAGAATAAAAATAGTCGAACCATCGTCGATTTTGCTCCAATCGGCTGAAATTCTGACACAACATTCTTCAGATATTATGCAATCATTTAATACTCAAAACAGACATATTGTTTCCTTCAACTCCATTGAAGTACAGAACCATATTTGCTTTGGAACAAAAAATTAAAATGCTGTTGTCGCACAAATATTTTTCTTAGCATACAACAATATTTAATACATGTTTATCCTTGGCATAAGATCAAAAAATATTTAAAATCTCCATTCCTCCCTTAAAATATTCAATTGACATTTTCCTGGTTAGATTAAAGAATGGAAGGCAGAACATAGTAAAACTTTGCAATTATTTTTTTTTAACGATAACTTTGTACTTCGGTAAGTTTTGATTTATGTATTTAAAAATCCAATTTAAATAATGTTGCAAAATATATCTCTTACAATTCCAGAATCAAGCGTCCTTCAAATTTGGAATTGAACCAATTTTATCTGGCTAATTGGAAAGATAAGCAAAGAGAGTGAATTTTAATAAACGTTCTCTGATATAGGTTTAGCCAGAAAAACGCTTTACCACACTGATTTCCACACAGCTGAGCATAATTTTTCCATGAAATTCGGAATCAAAAAGAAAACGCGTAAGGAAAGCTTTTGGCCGCACAAAAAAGTTTTGGAAATGTTTAAAATATCTTGTAAACGAACATTTTCAACTCTATTTAAATAAACAATTTCATTCATTTGAGAAGTATAGAGTACCAAAACTGAGCGCTTTAGATTTCACCTGCATACGAGGTAAATATACAAATAGCAATAGAAATTTATTCCAATTGACCGACTGCGCTACTGGAGAGGAAGACACAAACTTTTTGGAAAAACGAGTTAAAGCGAGAAAGCAAGAAGAGTGTCATCGCCAGTGGGCAGTAAAGAGCACCCCGGTTGCAAGAAATCTTACGTACTTCCTCTACATTTGTGTTTCATTTGCAGTTTGTTCTTGAAATTGCAACAACGTTGGGGCGAGTGAGCTGGAGAAAAATTTATTCCGTGAGTTAGTAAGAAAAACCTAAAATTGATTTGCAGTGAAAATATAAAAAACTGATTAAAGTGGCACGCACAGAATTGTCTCAGTGTGTCAAAAACAAAACAAATGAAGTAAAATTGTGATAATTAGAAACAATTCTGGAACGGAAAAGTCTGACTAATAAGAAGGTATAAAGTTTTCCATTGGGAAAAATTCGAATATCTACGTAGAAAATCAAAAGATTGGAGAAAAAATTTAATTGACACTTTGAAAATAGTTACCGACAAGCTGTTAGTGATTTAAATTGAGATCAGTCCAAATTTTATTTAAACAAAATGGATTTTAATTTTGCCGATTTGAAGAAGGAAGCAGCTGCTACGGCAGAGGATGTGTTTTCTCATACTGCAGATGCAGCTAAGCAAGCAACAAATGCAACATATGATTTGTTAAGTGGAGGCGGTGGACGTGCTTCGACGGGCGCACAAGATGATAACTCACACACAGAACACTACTTCGCCAACGAGCAAAAGGACATTGATTTTGAACATGTTGACCCCCAAGCATTTGTACAGCGTATGTCTGCCGGTGCAAAAGAGGCGCAGGAGCAATTAGATGCCAAGTTCGCACAACACACTAACGATTTTGATGATTTTCTGACCAATGCATCCAAGGATTTGCACTCCTTTGGATCACAACTACAGCAAGATACGAAGCAGGGCGTACACGATTTTATGAACGCTGAACGTGGGTTATTTAGTGGTGCCGGTGACATAAACAAACAAACCGTTGAGGTATCAGCACCTACAACAGTTCCGGTTATATCAAACAAACCTGCTGAACATGCTGTTAAAGAAGGTGATTTACTAAATTTCAGTGTCGGTGATGCCGCTGAAAAACATGCTCCATTGCAACCATTCGAAGAAGATTTTGAGACACATTTTGCACCAACTGCACCAGCAGCTCCTGCACCAACAGTTACAACGCTATACGATGACGATCTTGCAATTGGCAAACCTTCGAATTCTGCATCGGCTTCCAACAAAGATTCAGATACGGATTCGCCTTCTTTGTCATGCAATCCGTCGCCGGCAAAGAAGAATCCAGTCACTGCTGCATTAAAGGAACAGGATAATGACAAATTTATATCTTCTGAAGATTTGCTTGGTGATTTCAAAGACGAGCGTACTGCAACGCCTGACTTCCAAGTTAGACCAGAAGTTACTAAACCGGCAGTTCAGGTTAAAACCACACCCGGGTCGGTGCCTATCACTGATTTAGACGCGGAAGAAGAATCCACATCACTATTTTCACAACCCAAACACTCACAAGTCGAGGAAATTAAAGAAACTGGCAACTCTAGTACAAAATTTTCAGCAACTTTACCCGTAGCAAGTGCTACAGCTGCAGCTGCACCCAAGCCAGCCGCAGTTAGTGAGCCCATCGCTGCTAAACCGCTCGCTCCGACAACAAGCAACAAAGATACAACTGAAATAGTCAAACCTAAAACAGCGCCGCCAGTTCCTCCAAAGGAGAGCAAACCATCCCATCAACAGTTGGATCAACCAAAAATTGTATCCGTCGAAGAAATATTCTACAAATATGGATTGGGTGAGTAAACTTTAATATTCTAATTAGATTGTTCACTTCACTTGTGTTTATGAATAGTGAAAACTGAAAAATTGCATATTTTTTAGAGACTTACATACATATTAATTTAATTTTTACTAGAAATTTTGTTCTTTAAATAACAATTAAAATTTAAATAACTTAAAATAACAATTGAGTCACCCATTTTCAATGATTGCGTTAGCATAAGTAACCTGTGGTAATTTATGTACACAATTTACACATATTATCGTATCGATTCATACGTATTTGCTCAATTGATAATTTCATTTAAATTCAGTCAGCTACTTTGCGTTGATGTTTTCGGCATAGTGTACGCTGCTTCAGCCACGTTTGCGGCAACACACACATCCAATTCATCATATATGTGTATCGTGTGTAGTGTTAACTCATTTGCAGAAATGATGTCATATGTTTCTAACCAGTTGTATTCGCACTTATCCCTCCGGAATTAACCAATGTCATTAAGGAAGAACCAGATAAGCAAAGAAATTTTAATTTCTTTTGCATCGACATACTTTTCTTCACACAATCAATGTGGGAGCAGCAAGGTTAAAGTCAGGTGCCGACCGGCAATCGCAAAAAAAAAATGCAATTTTCGATATTTTTATATGTATTAATTATACATGTTTTTGTATATCTTATGATTTTATCACCCGCTATTTACCATTCCGGCATTGCCAGTCATTGCGCAAGTTTTATAATATATTTATTATTTTTATTTGCATAGTAATGCCGATGAACAACGCCGGCATATGACTCACTTAATATTTTCTTATTTTATTTTAATTATTTTTTTTCGGTTGAGTTTTTTTTTTATTATATATTGCTTGTTACGTTTCTTTTCTCAATCGGTTAGCACTGCCTTTCACAAGCAGTCATGAACGGGCTTAAAGGCGGCCGACTAAATGTAGGCTGTCTGCACGGCAACACGCACAAGCATGCCATTCATTCGGTCCAGTTGGTTTCATTTTAAGATTTTCATATTACTATGTTTTATGCACTTACATACTATACATGTGTACATGCATTTATGCACTTACATACTATACATACATATGTACATGCACATATGTATATACATAAGTAACTAATCAGTGCATATTCATTGATTTCATCATGCTACTTAATATCGCATGTGTAACTGTATATATGTATGTATATAGATCCTTCTATTCATTGCCACCAAATGAATGTCGGTAATGTAATATGTAAAAGCTTTAGATGAATCAGTAAAGTAAAATTAGCGGTGCTTATATGTACATTGCGCGTCATACGTATAAGTATAGAAGACAAGGCAGATTAGCAATAGATTTGGACGTGGCTAAGTGTGCTTGCGCGTTCGTACTAATCCGTAAGCGATAGTTCTGAGCTCGAAGCTATGAATGAATCAACAAAAATTAAAGAAGATCTACTTAGTATATGTGTCTTGTAATAACTCCGTTTGGTAGTGTTTGGTACATAGACTATGAGAAGATGCATAAGGAAATTAGAAGAGCAGTTCGGCCTAAGCCTACAGAGAGACTTAAATATACATACATATATATTATATATACTATACACAGGTGCATCTACTTGTTGTTTTACTGTCTTATATAATGTATTTCTCAACCGTTCCCACGACAGTCGGGTCTACGAA